AAATAAAAGATATCAAAAATAAAATGAAAAGAACAAAATAGAATGAAAGTCACACTAGTGTTCACATCTGGTACAGGCTGACTTCTCCAGTAAGGCTAAATGCTCCTTCCTCGGCCCAATGCTCCTTCCTCAGCTGAATGCTCCTTCCTCGGTGCAATTCAATGGATTCACTTCCCTTAAACCTCTGGAGGCTGAAGCCCAAAGCCAAAGCACTGGCAGAGCCTTCCTCCCTCCAAAGCCTCTGATAATCCTTCCTTGCCTCTTGACTTTGTGGCAACATGATCATCCTTTCCACCAGTGTCTTCAAATTCACCGTCTTCCTTCCCTTTGTGGCTATATCCAATTTTCTTCTTTGGAGTCATATTGGATCAGGGTGTTACCCTATTCTAGGATGAGTTCCTCTTAACCTATTCCTAAATAAAGACACACTGCACAGTTCAGGGGGTTAAGACATCAACATACCTTTTAGGAGACGTACTTCAACCCACAACATTATCCAAGTCTTAGTCCTCACAACTTTCTCACCCTCTTAGCAGCATTTGGCACAGTAATCAGCACAGGCTGCTTCGAATGCTTTCTAATTATTATTATTTACAGGCTGTTTGACCTTCATTTCCTTCATCATAGCTTTCACATTTTCCTCACCACTCCCAACTCTTTTCCCTGCCAGTTTCTATTCCACCTCTCCAGACCCGGCCTCACCTACACTCCCTCCTTAGGAAATTCCTCAAGTTCCACACCTTCCATACAATCTTAGCTCCTGACAGATGCCATATTTATAGCTCCAATCCACCCTGCCTTCTCAGAAACCATATCCTTCCATGTACTTGGAATATCCACTGAGCCACACAGAGCTCTTGTGGTTTTACTCAGATACCTGCTTCCCTGGACTTTATCAAAGCAGTAAGCAACCCCACCTTTACCCAACACTGTGGTTACATCCTAGATTCTGACCTTTCCCTCATCCTCCTACTTCCAATCAGTAAATCTTTCTGGACGCCCATCTAAGACATCTGGTGCCTGTCCACTTTGCTCCACCTCCAGTGCTACCACATCTGGCCACACCTTTCATGTGCATACTCCAGCTCAGCAGAACTGAGTAGCTATATCAGCAACTATCTGATCTGTATTGTCAAAAAGACCTTGCTCAAAGGAGGAGGCTACAATGCTTGATAAGAAATGTACTCATGGGCTGGGAAGGTGGCTCAGTGGTAGAGCGCTTGCCTTGCATGCTCGAGGCCCTGGGTTCGATTCCTCAGCACCACATAAGCAAAAAGAAAAAAGCTGGAAGTGGCGCTGTGGCTCAAGTGGTACAGCGCTAGTCTTGAGCTGAAGAGCTGAGGGACAGTGCCCAGGCCCAGAGTTCAGGCTCCATGACCGGACCCCCCCCCAAAAAAAAGAAATGTACTCATTATCTTGCCCATGTAATTGTAACCCCTCTGTACAGTATTTTCACAATTAAAAAAAAAAAAGACCTTGCTGTCTGGCTCTCTGAGGAAAGTTTGCTGATCTCTGGCCTAAACTCTTACATCCCCTTTGCCAATTCTTTAGTGTGATCCAATTGGCAATAGAATATTCGTGTTCACAGGAACCAGTGGCGCACACCTGTAATCCTAGCTACTCAAGAGGCTATGATCTAAGCATTGGTTCCAAACCAGCCTAGGCTGAAACATTTATGAGACTCTTACCCCCCCTCCCCCAAAAAAAGCTGAAGGAGAGCTGTGGCTCATGTGGTAAAGTCTTGAACAAAAGAAGCTGAAGGACAGTACCCATGCCCTGAGTTCAAGCCCCAGGACTTGCACCAAAAAAAAAAAAAAATCAAATACCAAATGTACCACTGGATTTATTTGTTGCCTTCCAGAAACATGTTTCTCTCCCCTTATGTCCCCTGGTCAACACTCTCCCTCTGTGCCTCACTCTGTCTCTCTCTGTCGCTCCTCTCTCCTGCACTCTATCACTGAGTAGTATCCCTGGAACCATCAAGTTCACCCTGTGCAGGAACCTGCAACAGCCCCCACTGACCCAGAACTTAGCCTAAGTTCCTGCCTAGTTTTCAAAGAGTCTCTTTAACTAAGCCTCCTGTAAAGGTACTCAAGGCTTTACTGTTGCCTACCCACCATTTCCCAAGGCAATGTCTTTGTGATTGTGGGGCCTAGATTCTTCAACAATGTCTCTTCTGGGTTTTCTCAGAACTCTCATATTATAAAATCTTGCAGGACCACATGCCTTCCCTCCAGTTACTCACTCTTCCATTTCCAGAAGACAGACCCTCTAAAACAGGGAAAAGAATTAATTTTGAAGAAACCTGTCTATTCACATCATCTTCATTTCCTCCCCTTCCATTCACTCTTCCCCCACATCTCTCTGGCTGCTGCTTCTCCACTAGGTTTCCTCCTGCCAGGATCATGAGTAATTTCATTAGTTTCCTAAGTTTTGCTCTATCCTGACTGCAATGATCTCCCTGAAACTGCTTGTAACCGTTTAGCTTTCTTTGAAGTAACACTTCCCTGAGCGTCTAGGAAACTCACACACTCCCTTTTCCACCTAGCTTTCTAATCCTTCCCTCCCTGTGTTCTCTCCCATGTCCAGTTCTCTTCCAGTGAGCTCCTTCAGGAAGGGACATGTCATTTGTTGTTCTCTGCTTCCTATCTTAAGTAAAGCACCCAATCGTCAGGTAAGAACAACTCTCCAGTCACCTGGTGTTTTCAGCTCAGCAATTTCCATTGAATTCTTTTGTGTCTAGATCTTGGTGATATCCTCCATATTAAAATTCTCTGAACACATTACTAAGGACTATTTATAATAAAAGTCTGACTTGGATGTCCAGTGGGCTTGTCTCTATTTCTGATTCCTCCCTCATACTTGGTATTCCTCAGAGAATATTGAACATGCTATGTACAGAGTCAGAGCACAATGTCACCTTCCTCTAGAAAGGAGTCAGTGTTGCTTCCTGCAGATGGGTAGATGAGACACTGATCATTCCAGCTCTCCTCATTCCACTGGTACGAAATGATTCAAATGAGGCAATAGTCCTATGAGGGTCAGATAAATTCTGGATCACACTTTACTTTTAATGAATAGCCCCTGAGGTTCAACTCAAAAACTTGGGGTGCTGACTAGGATCCTTCCAACCTGGTAGGACCTAATCATTTCTATCCCAGCACTGTGCATCTATCAAGAACTCTGCTCAGATACTCAGCCACATGTCCAAGAAAACAAGCTAGTCTCTTACTAAGGCTTGTTACTCACACTGCTAATAGATACCAGCTTCCCCAACTGGAAAGAGGGCAGGCTGGGAATCTACAAGCTGGTTCTAGTCTGTCTAGTCAAAACAAGCCCTAGGACTCCTGGGTCTGACCTCTGATGGTTCCATTATTCTTATTAGTAAAACATACCTGGATAAAAATCTTTAGAGTTTCTGTTCTCTTCAAAAAATTAATTCTCATTACCATCCCTGCCAAGTCTTACATCAGGCAATCCAGTTATCCATTTTTCTTCCATGGCTCCCTCAGTGCTTATTAGTTCAGTGACTGGTTACAACTTCACATTTCTGTAATAGCATTATAACACTGCAACTGTAATAGTGTGGATGAGATTTACAAACAAGCTGTTTGAATTGTGAAGCTATGCCTACTTATGCTGTAGGTCCATGTGATGTGTTGCCCTGGCTACTAAACCATGCAGAGCTAATGAGGACCTGCCCACTGCTAAGGCTGAAAATGAAGGGAAGCCCAACCTAAATACAGACAGGAGTTACTGCAGGTTATCACCATGCCAAACTCAACGCTATAAACAAACATGGAGGAAAACAGGCCTGACTCAAAACAAACCAAAAATAAAAATAATGTTTCGTGTTGGGCTCACACCAGTGGCTCACACCTGTAATCCTAGATACTCAGGAAGCTGAGATCTGAGGATCGCAGTTCAAAGCCGGCCTGGGCAGGAAAGTTTGTGAGACTCTTATCTCCAATAAACCACCAGAAAGCCAGAAGTGCTGCTGTGACTCAAGTGGTAGAGCTCTCACCTTGAGCTGAAGAGCTGAGGGACAGCGCCCAGACTGAGTTCAAGCCTCACGACTAACAAAAAAAAAATGTTTATTGAGTGTCTAGTAGATCAGAGAATTAAACGAACTTGAGCCTTTGGCTCTTTATGTTAAGTGTCTGTGCTTTCCTCTAAGATGAGAGTGCCAAAAGATATAGCAATGTTTTATTTGTTTTCATGAAGGACAAGAGAGCCAGGGATTAAAACTGAGGACAGGCTGAAACAAAGTCCTGGAAGACTTTTGCATGTAGAAGACTTAATTTCATCACTTCATTAGGTTGAGAATATTCTTCTGCACACACTGGCTAACTCTAGTCCTAGCTCCTTACCACAGAGTTACTATATACTTCTCTTTCACAGTACTTTCAACCTGTACCTCTTTTCCATAGGATGCATAACCTAGATATTGATGTCTCTTACATAGTATTTGCTTCCTACCAGAAAGCAAAGGCATCTATTTCAGAGTTGTGCTGTAGCTACCACCCAGAAAGAGTCATCACTAGGCTTCAGGATGCTAAAGTAACATAGCAGCTAAAAGCATCTGAATTATGTTGGTCCTTACTCTGACCAAGAGACCTTGTGTGTGACAGAAAGGCCATTGACTACCTAAGAATCTATGCATGAATCCTAGCTCTGCACTAGCTAGCTCTGCTCAGTCACACCTTCAGATGCACTGAGAGAGTCTGCTGTGGGTCAGAGGTTCTGCTAGGTATCATTCCACAAAGGCGAGGAAGACTTACAAGGTGCCTGCCATCAAAGAGCTCAAATCTGAAGAGTACCTGCTTCCCTATCTGCTACATGATGGTGTCAGACCACATCATTCCTGGGGTTCCTTCCGCTGTTCAGGTTTTGTGGTCAGCCATACATCTTCGTGCAGCTGTGCACAGGCAGGGCCTCTCCAGATTCCAGCCTTCCTTTCTATAAAGCACACAGAACATATGTGAAAGCATGTCCATTACCTTGTGCAGCCACAGTGGCAGGTTTCCAGACCCGCTCGGCAGGGAGCCCTTCTGCTGAACTGCAGCCCAACAATAAGAATCCACAAAGGCAGCCTGGCGCCAGGAGAAAGAACTCGGAGAGAAACAACTTATCTGGGTACCTGAGAAGCAAAACATATTGTTCTGAATGAGTGACAATGCAGTTCCAGACCCTTCCCATACCACCCTCTACTCTTCATTGGTCCTGATTTTAAGGGTCACCTGCCAGGAGAGGGTAGAACTAAAAACAACGCTGAGTTCATTGAAAGCTTTGGAGCCAGGTGTCAGGGGCTCATGCCTGTAATCCTAATTACTCAAGAGACTAAGATCTGAGGACAGGGGTTCAAAGCCAGCCCAGGCAGGAAAGTCATGAAACTCTTATCCTTCATCAACTACCCAAAAGCCAAAAGTGGAGATGTAGCTTAAGATAGAGCACCAGCCTTGAGAGAAAAAGCTAGGGACAGTGCTTAGACCCAGTTCAAGTACCAGTATCAATACACACAAGTGTTAGGTGTTCTGAGCAACACAGATCATTAGGGCTCAGCTGAAAGGAAACTCTTGGAAGAAGCAAACCAGCATAAAAAAGAAAAAGAACCAAAGTGAAATATATGACTAAACATGGACACGGCCAGTCTCATTTAGGGCAAGAGTTAGGATTCAATGAGTAAGTGACAAGGTGAATCGGTATAGGAAACTGACCTTTGTTTTTGAAACGGCTTTCTGGAGCATTTAGAGCTGAAGGAACACTGGTAATAGATCACTGGAGGGCAAATCAACCACTTCACATGTTGTCATTAAAAAAGACATAGGCCAAAACTGCACCCCATCAGGTTATATCTAGAAGACTTTGTGCCTTCCAACAGAGATGGAGGCCGAATGGGAAATGGGAAAAGCTGGGTTCTGCTTGGGGCTGTGCTGAATATGCTCTCCTAAAAAGGGACTGTGGGATTCAGCTTTCCTCAAATCAAACTGGAGGTCTCACCCTGAAATGCTGCCTCTACACAGGTCAAACTGACACCTGACAGACACTCCACACTCCTGATTCACATAGCATGGCAGAAACTGGCCAACAGCCGTGTCCTCCCCGCTGAGTGTGTGTGCCTGGAGCCAGCTTCCCTGGAAAGCCCCTGGCCCCACCGCCCCCCAGGCCCCAGCAAGTGTTACAGATGGTTACGGTACAGGCAGAGGGACAAGTGGACAGCACCCCCACAGGCAGCACATCCCACTCAACATTGGAACCTAAGTGCTTGAGCTCTGACACAAACTGCATGTAAAATGGATCCTGCCACTCATAGCTGACTCACAGCTGACAAAATCTCCAAAACAGGAATGACATTAACACTATGTTACAGATTCACAGATCTGTGCTGGTAATAAAACAAGAATAGTCATGACAGCACTTACCATAGTACCTGGTTCCTGCCAGTTGCTAAGTGTCATATTTTCCAAGTGAAGTAATAAAATCGTTCTGGTATTCCTTTAATGTATGGCCAACATTCTCCCTTCCTTCCTCATAAAGACAGGACAGGGACACTCAGATTTCCCTAGACCCTGGGAACACTAATCCCAGCTACTCAGGAGGCTGAGATCTGAGGATCACAGTTCAAAACTAGCCCAGACAGGAAAGTCCATGAGATTCTTATCTCCAGTTAATGCCAGAAGGGGGAAAAAAAATCCGAAGTGCAATTGTGGCTCAAGTGGTAGAGTGCTGGTCTTGAGTACAAAAGATCAGGGATAGTGCCTAGGCCCTGAGTTCAAGCTCCAGGATAGGCAAAAAATAAAAAGCCAACTTTCTCGCTGGATGGGTGTATGTATGGCTTATATGCCGGGAACAGGAGAGGGAAGTGAGGAGTATACTGTCAAGATGGTGGTTTCTGTGGGGCCCGAGGATCTTAGCACCTCTTCCTTTTCAACACATGCCTTCATGCCCAAAGATACCAAGAAAGGACTTCTCAGACCCTGGGGAGGAGTTCATGAGGTAAAGGCCTATAATAGGGACACTTCTTGCTATCCAGTGAAGGCATAAATAAGAAAGAGCTAGAGTAGTTAAGTCTTTCTTATTCTATTAAACTTGAGATCTTCTCTTTTTTTTGGGAGGGGGGTCCGGTTGTGGGGCCTGAACTCTGGGCCTGGGCGCTGTCCCTCAGCTCTTCAGCTCAAGGGTAGCACTCTACCATTTGAGCCACAGCACCACTTCTGGCTTTTTTTTTTCCTGCTTATGTGGTGCTGAAGAATTGAACCCAGGGCCTCAAGCATGCAAGGCAAGCACTCTACCACTGAGCCACCTTCCCAGCCCTAAACTTGAGATCTTGCACGGTATAAAGCAAGTAATCAGAATGGTACAGGACTCAACCTCACACTGCTCCAGCATTTGTGACTCTTCAAATGCATCCTATGCCATCAATTATCAAGGCTGGGGACACAACAGGAATACAAGGCAGAGAGGCAGTGCTCTGTTACAAACCAATGGCTTCTGATAAATTTCTTGGGAATGTTTATCTAGCCAAACACATACTTAGGAACACAAGCAAGAATGCTAGAATGCTATTAACACCTGCCTGGCCAGGATGTACTTTAGGCAATGTCCTCAGTGAATGTTTTCAACATTTATTAACATTCTCTAGAAAAAAGTGTATCGAACTCTATCTTGGGATCTCAGGATTTCTAACACCATCAGCCCTTTCAATCACTCCCTCATTTAATAGCCTCACAGCCAAATAGGGAGAAAGCCTACTCCCCTTTTACCCTGGAGAAAACTGAAGTTCAGGGAGCTCTGCAGCTCTCCCCTTCCTCTCAGCATTCTTCACCAGGATGATCATGTGGCCAAGCCACAGAATTTCCTACAAGGCTTTGACATAATGGCTAGTCCCAGCAGATGATCTCTCCAAGTGGCAGGAAAAGGGCGAGGAGCCTGGAAAGAGTCTAGGAAAAGAAACAGATTGCGTTTCACTATAAGCAATTCCTAGTCCAAGGACAGGAAACTGAGAGCCAGGCTTGTGCTAAGGTAGAGGCCCAATTGAGAGGGAAAAGCAGGAGTCAAGAACAGCACAGAGCCTCAGGGCACAGCAACAGGGACTATAAAAGCTGAGCAGTGCAGCCCCTACCCTCACCCTGGGGACGGAGAACCTGACTTCCAGGCATCCTGTCAGTGTAGCCAGCTGCTGCAGAGGGGCTAGGAAGCTTGGGCCTTGGACCATCCTGACTCACGTCTCCAAATCATACTGCAGCATCCTTTACCTCACTCTTTAAAACAATTGGGGAAGTGGTGCTATGGCTCAAGTGGTAGAGTGCTTGCCTTGAGCTGAAGAGCTGAGGGACAGCGCCCAGGCCCAGAGTTCAAGCTCCACGACCGACAAAAAAAAACCAAACCAAAAAACCAACAGTTGGGAGACAAGAAGGTTCGGTATTTCTACATTTTCCTAGTAGTCTTCCGCTAAAGAAACTTTCCTGAATCTCTTTCCTCCACCCACATAAACTGCTGCCTAATTATTCATCCTAAAGTTCCCACCTGAGCATGATACATCCTGGCTCAGCACTGCTCTGGGTTACTCCTGCTCTGGGTCCTGATCCAAACCAACAACTGTTGTAACTTGTCTAGGCCTGGCAGGTTTCCAGAGCTGTGCCTTTCCTAACGCTATTCCAGCACCCAAAAGGCTTGTCCTCTAGTGCCCGTGTACAACAATGCTACCTTGACAGACCATCCTCCAAGGCCAGGCTCAGGCACCAACCTCTGCATGAAGCACCATCCCCACAACACCACCAGCACTTCAAAACTATCACAGATGCTCAGAAAATCACCATGAGCCATACAGGCAGATGTGTCTTTATCTCTTCTGGCAATATCTGAAGTCTTGGCAGACGGGACACACTCCCTGTCTCTCCCAACTTCATACATTACCTGTGAAACATGTTTTCACGAACAACCAAGTGCTACCATCAGACACTTGAGAAAATCGAGCTCCACAATACCATGCAGCCAGGCTCACATACTCTGCACCACTGTATGGGCTAAACAAGCACTCTAAACAAGGTCCTAGGGAAGGGCTTTCCATGATACAGACAAGGTAAGAGTTTCAAGCTTATACCCAGAACATTAAAGAATACTACTTCTGGTTGCCTAAAGTTCAGGGGTAGCTGTGTGGCTTTACAGGCAAGTGACTAGCCAAATATGACATAAGTACACAGAAGAAACATGCTCCCTGGGTCACATGGAGGTACTCATAGTATCTGCTAGGTAAGTGACCCAAACCAAACATCTTCTGTCACCTTCCACATGTCTCAGCCTGGAGCCCAGGGCACTATCGTATCATATGTTCTCCTCAGGTGCAGTCCGGGCCGTCCTTAGTGCGAACTGTGCAGCAGAAGCTCATGATGTAGTGGAAAGCGACACAGGTCAAGGGGAGGAGGAGAAGGGCAAGGAGAGCAAGAAACTAGCCCCTGGATTCTCAACGACACCAGTGTGAGCACAAGGACTCGTTCCATTCTTGTCCAACGGCAGCAGGAGAGGCTCTAGTCTATTTCTGTTACTGCTCTCTCTCTCTCTCCCACTCTCAATACACTTTCTTTCAGTTCTTATGCATTACTAACATGGGGCTATTAGGATAGCAGCTGAGAGCTGAGGTCTGGGCTTCCCCCCACTCCACCTCCATTCCTTTCCTTTCCCTCCCTTCCAAGACCCTGAGTAGGAATATCTTTTCTGGGTTGCTTCCACACTAAAGTGCTATGGGGCACCATAGGAATCAAACCTCCTGAGGAGCTAATGAAGCGCATCAAAAATCAAAATATGACTAGAGAGATGCAGTTAAATTGCTGATAGAACTTGAAAAGAACTTTCACATGGAAGGGATTATAAGCTGAAATCAAAGTCCCATTGCAGGAAGCCAAGAAAGGCTGGCTGATGAGAACTGGCCCTTACTGTGTACTTCTGACCCCAACTTAAAGGTGAGGAAAGAGAGAGATCAAGACCTTACAACAGCAGCACTGGGACATCAACCCTGGCCTACACCTCCAATCACAAGGAAGAAGAGACAAAGGCACATGTTATTGAAGAAAACGGTGTCAGAAATGGGGAATGAGAAGAAATAAACTACAGAGTTTCTTAGAGAGGAAAAGAGGGAGTATTTCATACCTGTAAGAAAATATAAGTGCTCTTTATAACCAAAACCTGAAAATGGAATGGAAATAAATTTCTTTCTCATCAGACAAAGCTGGTTCACAGGATTCTTTTTTTCATATCTTACAATCCTGGCTTTTAAAGAGAATGTACTAGGGCTCCTTTGTGACAATGGGCAAGCACATGTACCTATCTTAAAAAAAATCCTGAAGTAGCTGTACAAAAGGGTTTCAATTCAGCATGTCAGTGAGTACAATGCAACTTGATCAATATCATCCCTTCCATCAATTCTACCTATCTTTCCAAGATCTACCAATTCCCTCAACTTACCCAGTTCCATTTTCACATATGAACACTGAACGATATGTTCCTCTTTAAAAAAATTTCTTTGTGCTGTCCTGGGACTTGAACTCAGGAACTGAGCAGTCCCTGAGCTATTTGCTCAAGACTAGAGCTCTACCACTTGATCCACAGTTCCACTTTCAGCATTTTTGGGATAGTTTATTGGAGATAAGGGTCTCACAGACTTTCCTGTACATATCACCTGATGTGGAAGAAGTAGCTGTAATGTCAAAGCTCATAGAATTCACAAACATTATAGAATATGATGATGACAATTTGCCTTGTGAAGGTTAAAATGTGTTTGTGACTTTAAGTATCACTATACTACAATACTGTGAAATTTATGTAATCACTTAATATCATAAAAACCCAGTCCAGCTTCCAATTGTGATCCTCTGATCTCTGCTGCATGAGTAGCTAGGATTACAGGCATGAGCCATGGTTGCCCGGCATACATCTCTCTCTAAATAAGATCCAAATACTTTACTAAGCCCCACTGTTCAGAGCAAGAAACAAAACATTCAGCATCTTGGAATGTATAATTTCCTATTTAATGTTCCAAAAGGCTGATCAATAAAGCAACTCTCTTACTACCAGAAGAGAATGATCAGACTACATGGTCTAGATGTGACCCACATTGCCCACAGCCAAAGATGAAACTATAAGCTAGTAAGCCTAACCAGAGCCTCTTTAAGGCTCCTTTAATTCTATCGGGAACACTAGTATAGCAACAGGATCTTCCAAGTGCCAGAACAGAAGTGAAGAGAAACTGGACAGGGGCCATGACCACAAGTAATCATGGGGCCAGGCATATTTCCCCATCAGGGGCAAAAGACAGGGAACTAAGTGGCCAACGTGGGGTTTTTCTTTTGTGTGGCAAATCCAGGATCTTAGCGTCTGTGTGTGTGAACACACACACACACACACACACACACACACACACACACACACGACAACTATCTCATGAATAAAAGTTCTGTGACTAGATACCACATTGAAAAGTAAAGCAAAAGAGTCATTCAACTATGTATTAAAGATGTAAAAAAGAGTACATTAAAGATATTTTCTAGGGCTGGGAAGGTGGCTCAGTGGTAGAGCGCTTGCTTGCATGCTCGAGGCCCTGGGTTCGATTCCTCAGCACCACATAAGCAAAAAAAGAAAAAAGCTGGAAGTGGTGCTCTGGCTTAAGTGGTAGAGCACTAGCCTTGAGCTGAAGAGCTGAGCGACAGCACCCAGGCCCAGAGTTCAGGCCCCACAACCGGACCCCCCCAAAAAAAACAAAAAACAAAAACAATTAAAAAAAAGATATTTTCTAATGTGGCTTAGTGGTAGAGTCCTTGCCTAACATGCACCAAACCCTGGGTTCAATTCCTCGTACCACATAAACCAAAAAAGCTAGAAGTGGTGCTCTGGCTCAAGTGGTAGAGTGGCTAGCCCTGAGCAAAAGAAACTCAGGGACAGTGCCCAGGCCCTGAGTTCAAGCCCCCAGGACTGCCAAAAAAAAAAAAAAAAGATATTTTCTCATCTGAGATTAACTATCTCAGAAATAACATCAGAGATGCCTAGCATAGTCAAAGCGATTGACATTTTGTTGTATTTGCTTCATCCTCCCCTACCCACCCCTGCAACCTGGTTTATTAGAAGAAAAGGAAAATTTTTCTGGACACAAAGAAATGTTTATCCAAAGAAAATAAAATCTATTAAAAGCTACCAGAATATAAATGATTAGATAAGTACAACATAGAAAAGAAAGATAAAGACAAACTCTACATCTCTGAAGTTCTGAGAAAAACCTTGGAGGAGAAACCTTAGAGGGAAACAGGGGAAAATACACAACAGAGGAATCCATCAGCTGCACTGGACACTGATGAAAATGAACTAAGCAACTCAAGGGCAAAGATGGGAGGGAGAGAATGAGAGGGAAAGAGAGAACAGCTTACACTAAGTAAAAGGAAAGAAATGTACATATCACCCGATGCGGAAGAAACAGCTGTAATGTCAAAACTCACAGAATTCACGAACATCATAGGGCATGATAATGACAATTTGCCTTGTGAAGGTTAATATGTGTTTGTGACTTTAAGTATCACTATGCCACAATACTGTGAAATTTATGTAATCACTTAATCTCAATAAAAAATAAAAATTAAAAAATTATTGTAAAGGTGATGTACAGAAGGGTTACAGTTATATGACAGGTAACAAATATATTTCTTTTTGAGCAGTGTTACTAACTCCCTCATTATTTCCCAGTTTTTCAAATTTTTTTTCAGACCTACAGAAAAGTTAAAAGGATATTACAAAGGTATCTCATACTGTTCACACCTGGCCATATATCCTCTCTCTATGTATGTCTATAATCCCACAGGCCATACATACATTTAGTACATGGCTATACAAATGTATATATGGCTATACACATTTTCTTCTCATCTTCTTAGCTGCCAACAGCCATGGGCCTTTATTGATAATTTTATAAGACTCACAAAATTGGCCCTTGTAGAAAAAAATGTTCTCCATCCCTGGAACATATACATTCTTGGGCTGGGAAGGTGGCTCAGTGGTAGAGTGCTTGCCTTGCATGCATGAGGCCCTGGGTTCGATTCCTCAGCACCACATAAGCAGGAAAAAAAAAAGCCAGAAGTGGCACTGTGGCTCAAGTGGTAGAGTGCTAGCCTTGAGCTGAAGAGCTGAGGGACAGCGCCCAGGCCCAGAGTTCAGGCCCCATGACTGGACCCAAAAATAAATAAATAAACAAAAACATATACATTCTTATCCACCTATGTGTGTGTGTGTGTGCGCACGAGCATGCAAGTGCATGCGCACACACATATATGCATGCAAGTCCTAGGACTTGAACTCAGGATCTAGGTGTTGTCCCTAAGTTTTTGTGCTTAAGGCTAGCACTCTACCACTTGGGCTTTCCTGCCCAGAATGGCTTTGAACCATTATTCCCAGATCTCAGGCTCCTGAGTGGGTAGGATTTCAGGCAACACTGGTGCCTGGGTTTTTTTGTTTTTGTTTTCCCCTAGTCCCTTAAGGGTTACTTGCAGAGATTTATCATCCTTAAATCCAAGAACATTCTCTTCACCCAATGCAATCACCCAACTAAAACATACCCTGGACATAATCTGTTATCTATACAGATTGAGTATTCCTTATCCCCTTCGATATGAAGTGTTTCAGATTTCAGAATATTTGTGTAAACTTTAATGGTTGAGCATTCACATAACCTGAAAAATGTGAAATGCTCCAGATTTTAGAATATTTTGGATTTCAGATTTTTCAAACTAGGGATCCCCAATCTATATCCATATTTCCAAAACTATTCTTTACACCAACTTGTCTGCTCTCCAATCAGGACCCAATTCCGTACCGCACACTGAGTTTAGCTCTCATGGTCACTTGATCTTGGAATGGTCTACCGCCTTTCTCTATCA